TACGCTTATCATATATGTTGTCATACTTATCACATATGCTGTGATACGTTTATCAAATGGTATGTGATACGCTTATCACATGTGCTATTTTTTACGCTTACCACATAAGGTATATAATACTTATCACATGCTATAGGGCACACTTATGACATATGCTGTCATCACAGTGTATAATACGCTTATCACATACGCTATATGGTATACTTATCAGATGCTATAATACGCCTATCACATAAGCTGTCATCGCATTGTATAATACATTTATCACATATGCTATATAATACACATGAGAACCAGTCTAGATTATATAATATACATAATACATATTATATAGGCATATTATATTAAATTTGTATTATATCATTAATCTCTGACCAGGGAAATGAAAGCCGTTATTGGAAAAGGGGGCAGAATAGAGATTTCATTTCATTTTCTCTGTACCTGAAACCAATTTTTAAAAATTAAGTAAACACAAGGGCTGGATGGAGGATGAAGTATCAAGTACTGCCTGTCAGAAGGTCTCCCCTCTAAATTCCTGGGCACTGAAGTTGGATCTCTGTCGGGTATGGTCTCCATGACCACAGAACCCATCTTCACCAAGAGCAGGCTCGCTCTCCTTGACTACATTCTAAGATCCACGTGCCTGACTCTAGTGGGTGACAATTGGTCATCACTTCTGTAAGGTCCTGCCCTGAAGCTTCTGATTTTAACTTGGGTTGGGATTCACCTTGCTATTGACCAAAGCACTAACCTGTGACTTCCAGTGACACTAGCACTGTAGCCACAGTGGCCATGCATGCCCGATGGGTCTGGATCGTGTCTGTAGGAGCCTCTCATTTGTCATCTGAAACAGGAACGACTACCGGACACTGCGCCAGGCGGTGATTGATATGGTCCTGGCCACAGAGATGACAAAGCATTTTGAGCATGTCAACAAGTTTGTCAACAGTGTCACCAAGCCCTTGTCAGCACTGGAAGAAAACAAGGTAAGGGAGACTGACTGCCAAGAGAGCCTGTTTGGGCTCTCATCCCTATGGAATTTAATTTGCACTGGTTAAATTATTCAAAGTACCACAACTTGGCAGAAAACAAAATAAAACTCTGGGGGGTCAAGTTTTAGGTGAATGTACTTGAGAAGGGTAGACCATTACCCTTCTCTTGGGCATCCTGGGGTCAGTTGGAGTCCTTGGGGTCTCTCACCAGCTACTCCCCACTGTGCACATTGTATGGTGGCAGCCACTATCCTCTGTTGGCTCTGTCACAGGAGTGTGACACTACTGCCCCTCATTTCTGGATGTGAGGCATGGTGTCCACACAACTGCCTGGCGAGGATAACATCAGACCTCTTGCTAGGCAGGAGGCCAAAGCTGAGGAAAGTCCCCACCTAGCTCTGCTTCACCGTTTCCTCACCTGTAAAACAGGCATACTAAATCTCTAGGATCAGTGGGCATGGCACAGGGTGGGCATGTCACAAATGGTGTCTATTTACTAGATGTGTTGTCAGATCAGCAACTAGAGAATGTTCTTTAATGGACCCTCTTCCTGAGGCCCATGTGTCTGCCCTGCCACCTACTCCACATGCTCAGCTTGGTGGCTTTGGATGAGTGTCTTCATCTCTCTGTATCCCAGTGTCCTCATCTATAAAATGTCGGAGTACAGAATCCTGCCTCCCAGGCCTCCCACCAGAGCTTTTTGTGAATGCAGATCAAAAGAGAATGACAGTTAAGTCCTCTGTACACCATAAAATGTTGGGCAGTGTTAAGAAGGGTCAGTGAATGACACAGTCTTGGTACCCTGACAGCTCATCACTGTCACACCTGCCACGAGGCTGGGTTGGAGATCAGGTCAAATGAGAAGAAGCAGGGAGCCTGGGGGACCACAAGACTATTTGTTGTGAGAGCAGAGACATCTTTTTTCAATTCACACCCTTTTTTAGTAAATAAAAGATAAAGCCCGTCTTTGAGTTCTTACCAAGGGAGAGCAACAGAAAGACAAGGCCACTGTGAGAAGTATTTAGAGTGAGAAGACAAACCAGCCAAGAAGGGGAGGCAGATCATCAGCCTCTGGGCTGCTGGAACCTCACTGGGCTTACCTTGTCACGTGTGGACCAAGCTCAGGGTGACAGGACTTGGCCTTGTGCTGTCAGCCCCTAACTGGCAGACCCTGGACCTCATGGTCCTTCACAGCGGGACCACACCGTAAGACAGGACATGGCACCAGGACCCATTTGATAGCTTTGAATTCCTCTCGTGTTTTAGGAAACTGATAAAGAGCAAGAAGCCATAAACACTATGCTCAGGACCCCAGAGAACCGGACTCTGATCAAACGGATGCTGATCAAGTGCGCTGATGTGTCCAACCCGTGTCGGCCCCGGGAGCAGTGCATCGAGTGGGCCGCACGCATCTCTGAAGAGTATTTCTCTCAGGTGAGACACAGCCTCTCTTTTTTCTCTGAGGGAGCAGCATCCCTGTGACTCCCAGCACCTCAGCTTCGAGGGCACAGACTCACCCACCATTCTGGCTCAGCACCGGGGAGCCTGTCCCCAGCGCCACACACTGACGGTGCCACAGCCCTCCCAGCACCAGCCTGCCACCTGCAGCATGCAGGGCTGTAAGTGCTTTGCTGGGACCTAAGGCTGCCCCAGCACACAGGCCATCAGGCAGTATTGGCCACCGCTACTTCAGTCAAAGCGTTCCGCAGCAGTGTGCAGCCAGCCTGTCCCTGCACTTTGGAAATAGGTTGTGATGATGTAAAGCACAGATAAGTTGTATTTCTTCTGTCACTTTATAACGCAGGAGAGAGCCCTTGTGCCAGAATACGGTCAATGGAACCAAACACAAAATTATTGAGTCCTCAGTTCTACAGCTCTCCATGTAAACCACCACCCTTCTCACAAATACCACCCAACTCCCGAATCTGACCTCTGCTCCAGCATTCAGCAGCCGAAACCACTCTGCCGTGACAGTCCCGTGTGCCTTTGTCTCCCCATCTTGACTTCTGATTCCTACTGATCCTCAGGCCTCCTTTCACGCCCCCGGACAGTCACTGTGATGGTGACCCACACCTCACCCAGCCAGTTTCTTGCTATTTCCAGTTAATCGGGCCACATCCCCCTTCATGGAGCAGCATGGACAGCTTCCATGTTGTTCTCACGCTGTTGGAAGGAAGCAGGAAGCTGGCTGGTGGGACAGTGTTTATAAAGCCTGCTGGGGTGCACAGTCCTGTCCGAGGCTTTCACACCCATTCACCCACCCACCCCCCCAGAGCACCTTCGGTCGGGTGAGCCCCATTCCTGGAGAGTGCCCTGTCTAGGTGCACCGTTGTTTAGCATTGACACCATATTTTTACTGTGCCTTTTCTGTGATTGGACATGTTTACACACACACCACCATGTGACAGCTGCCTGCACTCCTCAGTCGTCACATGCCATACAGGCTGGCAGCCCAGGTGTGTGGCGGCCTACCAGCTGGGTGTGTGATGTTCGCACAAGCACGCAGTCACTAACGACACTTTCTCAGAACACACACCCTTCCTTAAGCAATGCATGACTGTACATAAAAATTCTTCATGCCAGACGTTTTTTAAGCTCAGGGATCTTAAGGGTGTTTAGAGCCTTTTCAAATAAAACCATTTGGTCTGAAATGAGAAGCAGCCACTGGGCTCCCCTGTGACAGGAGCAGCAGAGCGGGGGCAGCCAGTGGGTCCTACCATTTGGAATCACCTGAGGCGCTTCAGCAGGCAACCTCCAGCTATTGAGAAGTCTGGGTTGGATTGGGGTGGGTGTCCTCAACCCCTCCTGGCGAGGGGTTCCCACCCTGGGAACAACTCGGTATCTGGTGAGCCACTCACCATAGCTCCTTAGGCTCTGGGGGAATGAAGGGAGCAGGTCCTGCAGTCTCAGAATTCTGGCGTTTTCTGTGTTGCAGACCGATGAAGAGAAGCGGCAGGACTTACCTGTGGTGATGCCAGTTTTTGATAGAAATACCTGCAGCATCCCCAAGTCCCAAATCTCATTCATTGACTACTTTATCACAGGCATGTTCGACGCGTGGGACGGTAAGAACTCTGAGATCTGTTTTTTAACCAGCAGAGGGGCCCCGGAAGAAGCAGACACTGTCTGGCGCTAGAACACGCTGGGGGCTTAGACTTCCCAGCCACATCATTCTCAGATGAGAAAGATGTCACCGAGGGCCCCTGAGGGCTGGGTCTCCATGCACTTCCCCATTCCCTGCCCTCGTCTCCAGGTGAGGACTTGAACTTGGCTCCACACAGCTAGGAGTGGAGAACTTAGGATTCAAAACCACTAATGTTGACGCCACAGCCCACAGTGCCATCTGCCCCCAGCTGCCCATCCCTCTTCTGTAACCTGCAGTGCGGGCAGCTTCTCAGAAAAGGCCTTGGGCATCCCAGTGGGGCTCCCTCATCTTTCTTCGTGACACGCGGTCCCAAAGGTACTGACTGAGCAGATGAGCTCCCCGATTTAGTTACTAGTTATCAGCTCAGCAGGCTTTCTTAGAGGAGCGGCTGGCCTGAGGGCAGCACTTCCTTCGTGCCCTGGGCTCACGTCAGATGCTGGGTGTCCCCTCCTATCTGCTCAGTGTTCCTGGGCATTTGGCCACTGCCCCTCTTGTCCCCTCTTCCTCCAAATGCTTGAAGCTGACCTGGGCAGAGGCCTCAGCTCTGTCTCCTCCCCCAGCCTTTGTGGACCTGCCCGAGCTGCTGCAGCACCTGGACAGCAACTTCAAGTATTGGAAAGACCTGGACGAGAGGAAGCTGCGGAGCCTGCGGCCGCCAGCTGAGTCTGAATGGTGCGTAACCATCCCTGTCACTGTCATTGCCTCAGTGCCCGGGCCCCTCCATCAGGAGAGCTTGTAGCAGGGTTTCCGTTCTGCCCTAACTTCCTCCCCTCCCCTTCCCATCTCCCCTTCTGTCCCCTCAGCTACCTCACCCTACCTACCTTCCTGGAAATCCTGTGTAACATCTTCTCACAATGTTGTCCTATCAGTAATATCAGTTATTAGAATGCTTTTTATAATAAATTTTGAAAGATTCCAAAGCCCATTTTAAATGCCATAAAATTTACATGATTCATCCATTACATGTGTGTTGTCGCACAGACTTATTTTCATAATGCAAACTAATATATTAGGTTGGTGCAAAAGTAACTGCAGTTTTTGCCATTGTTTGTAATGGCAAAAACTGCAATTATTTTTGTACCAACCTAATAAAAATGACAATTTGAACTATAGAAATACTTTAGGTATATGGTAAACTTTTCTGAAAGCCCATTTTCTGCATGGATCTTATTTCAGAGCTATGGAGACTGGACCCTCCTGTACAGCACCCAGACCTCTCAAACTGCTCTAATCACTGATGGACTTTGCTGAGTGATTTGTGAAGGAAAAGAAATTTGGATGGAATACCTTTTCTCTACGATTTTATAAATGACTTTTCCAAACATCTGCCTTAATTTGTACAGTGTTTCTACCAAATATTTCCATAGACACAAAGAACGAAAATGGAGTATTTACTAAAATGACATTTTAAAACCAATCTATTCTCATCTTCAGTGGTTATCTTGGATTCTAGAAATTTATAAAGATTATATATTCTCACATTTTCAATAACTGTAGGACTGGTAAAAATGACGACATGTCAGAGTGCGTGTCATTTTAAACTTATATCGCTTTTTCCAAAGATAAAAATGAAATTAAACTATTTGTTTTTAAAATTCATGTTACCTTTTCTTTGGAGTTTTCTAAGACAATTTTTCTCCCTCTAAATGAAGAAGATAACTTTATTTATGTTGAAAAATTCTCAGAACTACTAAAAACTTCCCACTGGGAATGGGCAGCCTGGGGTGTGACAGTGCCAAACCCCTCAGGGGTCTCTGTGTCTAAAGAAACCAAGGCTGCTTTCTCTGTGGGAAGAAAGCCCGCGCCCCTAGTCTTCCAGGTGCCAGGAAAGGATCACCACAAGGAGTTCAGATGTCATGACTAGACATAGCAGTGAAATTGGCACCACCAAGAACCAGGAATAAAATCATCTAAAAGACCCATTAACATGAATATCCTTAACATATTTGAAGAGAAAAAAGAGGCAATAGAAACTATAAGGTAAACCAACGTAGTTTTAAAAAAGAATACGAATATTTAAAAAACAACCAAACAGACGTTCTAGATATTATTGTTGAAAACTAAACTTCTTTACAAAGACCAGACACGACTCAATACAGAACTAGTTAGTTGGAAGGCTAAGGTAGTCACTCAGCCAGCAGCACAGCGGTTAAAAATGGAAAATGTGACCAGCGTTAACATAGGGAAGATAGAATGACATACTTCAAAATATTCAAAATGTCTAAACTCACAGATCCAGAGGGAGAAAACATAGGAACAAGCACCATCCAAAGGCTGAGAAGCCCTCAGGCTTTCACAGACACGAGTCTTCAGATTTAATGGTCATGCTGATCCCAAGTGGGTCATGCTGATCCCAAGTGGGATCAATAAAATAAACCCACGTGACACAACGAAACAAGAGCCCGGGGCTCAGAGCCTAACCTAAAAGCTGTCAGAAAAGCCAGAGCACTTACCAAAGAACTAGTGCTCGGCTGTCAGCAGACTTCTCATCTGCAGCAACAAGACACAGGGGTGACATTTTCAAAACACTGAAGGAGACTGTCCGCCTAGCATCACCAACCTCAGTACACTAGCATCCGGAGTGAATGTAAAATTCCGGACATGCACTCAGTTCATTATCCACAGACCCCATGGGAAGAAATGCTGGAAGCTGTAGTTCTAGGAAATGAGTCCAGACACAAGAGGAGGTTACAGAAAAGCAGCGGCAAACAGAGACGGGTAAGCACAGGGTCAAAACTAAAATATATCGAGTGGGGACAATAACAGTGCTGGACAGTCAGGAGGAAGAAAGGAGGGAAGGAGGGAGGAAGGGAGGGAGGGGAAGAGGGAGACAGCGCGCCCGAGTGCTGTATGTTCAGGAGGACAAGAGAGATTTGTGTATTAGAGATCACACTTTCAATGTGATTACTTACAAGGTAAGGGAGATTGTAAAGGAACAGAAAATATGGAATCTACAGTCACTAAAATGTAAGCTAAGAGAATAAAATGGGACTAACCAATAAAAGATAAACAAATTATGAGACATGGACAGAAATAAGTATAAATACTAGCTCACAGCATATGCAAAACCACTGCAGAATAAATATCCACATGTGAAAAAATAACTTTGACACTGGAATGGGGGAAACCTTCTTTAAATGACACCAAAAACTTCAGAAAACACACAAGGAATAAATTGTCTAAAAGATTACAAATTCTATATGGCAAAATATACACACCATGCTAAAAAAACATGCCACAGATTTCAAGATGACCTATAGAAGAAAGAAGTTAGTATTCAGGATAAAGAAGGCCTAAACGTCAGTAAGAAAAGGGCAAAAAACAAGACTTTACAACCCTCAGATTAAGTTTGTAAAAATCTGGCAATGTGAAGTATTGATGAGGGCGCAAACATCAATGGTAGGCATGTAAGGTTGGTACGACTACAGTGGGGAGCAATCTGGAAATATCTACAAAAGTTCCTCATTCACCAATTGTATTTCTAGCTCCATGCTACAGAAATCTGCCAATGCACACAAGACGACTGTTCAAGAATCTTCAGGATGCTACCCAGTGAAAGAGCAGAAATAATGTCATGTCCTGTGTACAAGAATGGATAAGGGAATTGTGCTGTTAGACTCAGACTTTACAAAAATCAATGTACAAAAATCCGTAGTGTTCCTATATAATAACAATGAAATACCAGAAAATGAAGAAGATTCCCATTTGCAACTGCAACATGTATAGAACATTACTTATGAATACGAAATGGACTGTATTCCGATAGTTATGTCAGTCACACCAGAGCATCACATGAAAAGTACCCAGTGAATGCCCTACAGGTAACTCCAGATGCAGGGTGGAGGGTGACCATCTGGACAACTCTCAAGACTGCAGATGGGGCACCGCACCCAGTCTCCAGCATAAGATCAGAGCTCTCAGGCTGCAACTGACGAGCTGACAGCCGCACCCGTACTTGTCCCAGAAAGAGCGCTGGAAGCCCTGCCTCCTGACTGTCTCACTGGCCTGGCCTGACGCCTGTCGCTACGTGCTGAAGGAACAGAATTCTCCAGGGCAGAATGAGGAAATAGGATAATTCACTGTAGTCAGAAAGAAATGCCAGATGTAGAATGGCTACTCAAGATATGGGACTTGGGAGCGAATACTATACACTTATATGGATCTGAAATACTTCAGATTAATTCTATGACTGAAAACCCACGATTAAAGAAACACATCTGATGTTAACACAAGCCAATCCGGCCAGAGTAGAGACACTGTGGGATGGGTAACTATTGCTTGGAGAAGAGTTCCCCCATTCTTAGACCCCACTAAGTTTGGTGACAGTTTAAAATGGAAACACAACAAGTACAGAGTCATCAGAAAATTAGCCATTCTAGTGCTAGCATATGATACACAGAGAAAATATACACCTTTTCAGGTACCTGCAAACAATGATTTTAAAAGAGCAGTTCTAATAGGACCTCCAGACACCTTCTCCTGCCTCATACAAATGCTTCAGCCACAGCACAAACCACACAGGACATGCTAAATGTCTTTAGACCAAATCAGAGTTACAAGGAACCCACAGAGTAACAGTGAATGCAGCAAAATTTATTTTTAATACGCAGAAATGCAACAATTTTAGACAAAACTTTAAACCCAGATTTATTTTTAAAACCCTCAAAATCCTCAAGCTATGTACAGGCCACATTTTAGACCATTTAGACCAACATTCCTTTCACCAAGTGGAAAACTTTCCAGATACACACCGGGAGGTGTGAGGTATGAGGACAGAAGGAACACTCAGTACCTACAAAGGAATCCTGGACAAAACCAGGACAGACCACGATCCCCAAACAGTAACAGGTCCAATTCACAACAACAAAGGACAACTACCAACTTCACCCGAAGGTTTTTCTCAAAAAACTAACACAGTCCCAGACAGCCCTGGTCAAGCTGCCCGGTGACAACAGACCATTTGTAAATCTTGCTAAACAAACAGGGCAACACTTGTTACACTGTACATTTTTAGTAGACACTGGATTACAAATATCAATAATTAAATATCATACTACACCCAATACAAACCACCAAACCACTAATACACACTCTATACTAATCCTATTCTGGAAAACATAATTGGAATGGACTTGACACCCAAAAGTTTTAAATGGTGGTCTTTGAAGCAATTAAAGAATTCAAAACTTTGCAATCTAGTACAAATAGAAATTGACCCAGTCATATTGCCTAGGCGACATGAACCTACACTAGGTAAGCAGCCCTCTCTTAAAGGGGGACATAGGAAATAGCTCAAAAAATACGGGATTTACTTAAAGAAGACATTATTGAACCTACTAGACCAAATTTATATAACACCCCTATGTGGCCAGTATTAAAACCCAGTGAGGACTATAGGCTTCCTAGAGATTATAGAAACCTATACAAAGGATCACCTAAGTTAGAAGGAGCTCTGCCTGACACCGAGGAAGCTGGTAATAAAATTACTCAATCCAGTGAGAAATACTAGGTTACCACAGACATGTCGGCATGTTCCTTGCCACACCCAACCTATGGAATCTTGGGAACATACTACCTTCTCTTGGGAAGGCAAACGTATAGATGTAAAAGACTGCCTCGAGGTTATCTCAATAACCCAGGATAGCTCATTCTAACAACTCATATTGATACAACTAAATACTCTAGTCTCATCCTTTCATATATAGATGACATCCTACGGCAATGATAATAAAGACATTCTAGAAAAAGAAAAACACCAACTAATCCAGGACTTAAGGTCCAGGGGATGGACAATTAATTATGATAAAACCACAGGCCCATCTACTGAAGTTAAATTTTTAGGCATCACATGGTCATCTGAAGGCAGAAAGATACCCCAGAAAGTCTTAGACAAGATTCAATGTATCACCACCCCAACAGATAAACAAGAAGCTCAAAGGCTGACCTGACCCTGGTTACTGGAGACAACACATTCCACAGTGGTCTTAAATCCATTTATGCAGTGACTAGAAAAGCAGGAACATCTGAATGGGTAACTCCCCAGCAGGAAGCCCTGAACCTAAAGAATACTTACAAACCTTCAGCACTCTCCAGCAGCCCACAAGGAACTCTAAATGAGATCACACATCTTATTTGCCCAAGACTGGCACTTGAGCTCTATGGACAAAGGGGTGTACGGATGCCTCCCTTATGCCAGTTGGCTTCCAGACCACTAAGCTCCCTCGCTTTTCCAGGAAGTATTCTCCATTTGAAAAATGCATGTTTCGCTCACTTATGAAGCCCTTAGACATCCCGAACCACTAACAGGTGATGCACCCATAACCATCAGGTATCACTTACCAGTCCTACAACGGGTCAGAATGACACCAGAAGAA